CCTGCTGCACAAGAAGGGGGACCTCGGCTGCCTGCAGAACTGGCGGGCCATCTCCCTCCTGTGCACCGACTACAAGATCCTGGCCAAGGTGCTGGCGAACTGTCTCCGCACCATCATGGCCTCCGTCATCGGGCCCGAGCAGAGCTACTGCGTGCCGGGCAGGACCATCCAGGACAACTTGTTCCTGCTGCGTGACCTGCTCACGGCTGCGGAGCTTTTTGGCCTGGACGTCGGTGTGCTCTCCCTGGACCAGGAGAAGGTCTTAGGCCGTGTCGACCACCGGGCCTGGGCGGCGGCATGGTCTCCCTGGGCCAGAAGGAGGCCTTCGATCGTGTCGCCCACCGGTACCTGCTTGGCACCCTCGAGGCCTTTGGCTTCGGGCCGCTCTTCACCGCGGTGCTCCGGGTCCTGTACCACGACGCCTCCAGCCTGCTCAAGGTGAATGGCGCGCTGTGCTCCCCGTTCTCCGTGCATCGCGGCATACGCCAGGGCTGCCCCCTGTCGGGCATGCTGTATGCCCTGGGCGTCGAACCGCTGCTGCACGCTCTGCGACGTCTCCTGGCCGGCCTTGCCCTGCCACCGGCGTCGGGCCCCGCCACCGGCCCCCTGCTCTGGCTGACGGCGTACGCGGACGACGTGACCGACTTCCTGGGCAGCCAGGAGGGGATGCGGGCCCAGAACGTGCGGACCCTGGTGGACTGCCAACGCGCGTATGAGCTCGCCGCCTTGGCCCGCATCAACTGGGGCAAGAGTGACGCCTTCTTGTTGGGGACGTGGGCCGGCACGCTGCCTCCGGACCTGCCGGGAGGCCTCGCATGGCGCCGGGAAGGCTTCAAAGCCCTGGGCGTGTTCCTGGGGCCGCTGGCCTTTGCGTCCTGCAACTGGGAGGACCTGGCGGAGGGAGTGGAGGCCCGCCTGCAGCGCTGGCACTGGCGCCTGCCTGCCCTCTCTTACTGCAGCCGGGTCCTTGTCGCCAACAACCTGGCGGCGGCCACCCTGTGGCACCGCTGCGCGGTGCTGGACCCTCCGCCGGAGCTCCTGGAGAGATTGCAGCAGCTCCTGGTCGACTTCCTGTGGGACGGACGCCACTGGCTCCCCCGAGCTGCCCTCTACCTGCCCACCAGGGAAGGGGGCCAAGGCCTGATCGACCTGGCCTGCCGGGTGGCCGCCTACTGGTTGCAAGCCCTCCCGCGGCTCC